ACACACACAAATAAATAAATAAAAATTAAAATAAAAAGAAAGCAATAAGCAAAGTCTTCAAGCCAGGTACCTCAGCTTCCACCTCCAGAAACTAGGGGGATAAAGAGCAAATTAGGGAGTCTGCCCCTTAGCTCAGTTCTTTAAGTGGCTGCTTCAACAAAGCAGTCAGGCTCAGGTTGCTGTGGTTCAATCCCCACAATTTAAGCCAGCCAAACCTGCCCTGAAGGCATTCGGAGAAAAAAAAAAAAATCCTTCTGCCTTTTTAGTGGAATAAGTGCTTCCCTGGCAAATGCAAGGGCCTGAGTTCAATCCCCGGTTCCACAAAAAAAAAGCAAATTAAACCCAAAGCACACTGAAGGAGGCAAAGACTAGAGCTGAAATCAATTAAAAAAGAAAAGAAACAGAAAATCAATGAGACCAAAGGTCCTCTGTGAGGATCAATGAAATCGGTGAGCCACCAGCCAGGGTCAGCAAAGGAGAAGCCAGAGAGCACAGCATCAGCACAGGAGGGGACAACACTACCTGCCACCCAGAGGTGTCTGAGGACAGGAGGGCACATTCTGAACGACCTGATGGCAGTAAATGCAATGGCTCTAATGCAGATGCCCGGACCAAACTCCTTGGGCCAGCCGGGCAGGGAACAGCCCCCCGTCCAGTAGAGACACACGGGCACCAGCCCTCCTGGGTACAGTGGTGCATGCTTGTGAGCCCGCCTCTGCGGGAAACCCCAGGAGTAACACAAATTCAAGCCCAGCCTAGGCAACTAAGCAATTTAACAAGAAATAAAAGGGGGGGCTGGGGAGATGGCTCAGTAGAGTAAGTGCTTGCCCAGCAAGTGCAGAGGCCTGAACCAGCAAGCCCCGGTTCCGCAAAAAAAAAAAGAAAAGAAAAAGAAAAGAAAGAAAGAAAAAAGAAATAAAAAGGCTGGGGATGTAACTTGGGTTCAAGCCCCAATATTATAAAATAATAATAATTAAAAAAAAACATAGCCCTGCACTGCATCTAAGGATGTCACTAGTGAGCCCACCAAACATGGCAAGATACCACCCCTTGCCCAAGGCCCGCGAGAGGGACCAATGTCTCCCTTCTCCCAGCACAGGGGACAGAGGCGCCTCAGTGCCTCCCTGGCCCAGCCTCACCTTCTCCTCGAAGTTGGGTAGTTTGTCCTTGCAGATGGTGATGATGTCCATCCAGGAGTAGCTCCTCTCCCTGCGGATCTGCGCCAGCTCCGGGTCCGTCTCATGCTTGTCAGGATCCAGCTGCATGAGCAGGTGGCAGGGGGAGCTTCGTTAAGCTTTGAACTGCTCTCCCGCTCTCCCGTGACTCTCACCAAATGCACTGCTTCCTCCTCCCTAAGATCTTTGTTCGTCTGCTTAAGGTACGCTGGGCTACATCTCCAGGCCTATCTGTCTTTTTGAGATGAGAGTCTTGCTAAGTGACTAACTTGCCCAGGCTGGGCCCCACTTTGGGCTCCTCCTGCCTCAGCCTGCCAGAGTGCTAGCATGACAGGTGTGCATGGGCCACCATACCTGGCTTGGCTGGCTCCTTCACCAGCTCTAAACTTGTCCTCTTTCTTGTCCTCTCCTCAGTTCTGTGCATGGATTCTACCAGTCTCCAAGCTGCCCCTCCCTGCAGCTTCCTACTCCGTTCTATGTCACCTGCTGGCCAAAGACACCACTCTCTCCTGAGTCCTATTTCTCTGCCACCTCCCCTATGAGGATGATTCTGCCAACCTGGGCCTCCGCAGGGCCATAGGGTTTCCCTGGGCCAGGATGTCAGGGCCCTCCCAGCCCATGCAAAAGCTTCAGTTCACCTGGCTGGAATTAGAGCACATCTGTCCTCTGGACCCAGGTGACTTTTTTACTTCTATCTTTCCTCCCCACCTACTGAAAAAGAAATCTATTCCAGAGCAGGGTGAAGCAGCACACACCTGTCAACTCAGCACTCAAGAGGCTGAGGCAGGAGGATCCATTTGGGTCTGAGGCCAGCCTGGGCTATACAGTGAGTTCAAGGCCAGCCTGAACTGCATATCAAAACCCTGGCAAGAAAGGAAGGAAGGAAGGAAGGAAGGAAGG